TTCACCTCTTCCACCTGGCTGCAGGGTCTTCCAATAAACAGCTGAGCCCTCATTGCAATATCTATTGTTGTAGCTGAGTCACTAAGTCATGTCTCTTTTGCAACACCATAGACAGTAGCCCACCCAGCATGTGATTTCCCAGACAACAATACTGCAGTATCATACATGAGTTCAATATCCTTGCCTCCTGATAGATTTCCCAGGTGTTCCTGAGATGCTTATGTGCCCAGGGCCATTATTCACACAACAGCCAGGTGGTATTTTAGGAATGTAAATCTGATTCCTTCATTTCTCTGCTTAAAAATCCTTCTAGGGTGTTCTGTTCCTGTCAGGAGAAAGCACAGACTCTAGAAACCTTGCGTCATCTGACCCTCCCCACCCCCTCCCCACATGGCCTCGTCATTGTCCATCCTGCTTACGAGGGTCCAGTCACTCTGACCTCCTTCCTTTTCTCAAACAAGCCAGTCATTCTACCGCAGGGCCTTTGCACACAGGCTATTGTCCTTCAAGTGAGTGTCATGACTGCTTTGGCTTTGAATCTCTGGCCATAGGCACAGTTTGAACAGTGGAGCAAATACAAAATGAGGTATAAAACATTGGTTCTGTGGGTCTGATGTAGATTTATTCTTGACTCTTAACCGAGAACAGTATGATACCTTCATGTTACAAAGAGGGGACTGAAGCCCAGAGAACAGATGAGACATAATCAAAGCCATTCTGATTCTGGAAGATGGATCACGACTTGGACACACGTGTGTGCTCCGTGATGTCCGGACTGTAACCTGCCAGGCTACTCTGTCCATGGGATTCCCCAGGCAAGAATACTGGAGTGGCCTGCCTTTCCTTCTCCAGGGGATCTTTCAACCCAGGGATCGAACTTGAATACTGCGGCATTGGCAGACAGATTCTTTACCACTAGCGCCACCAGGGAAGCCCTATTTTATTTTCCCCTGGGGGAGGGGAAAAGTGGTTCAGGAAGTGGTATGGACCTATGGGGAAGGGAATGTAACCTTAACATATGACATACTACTTAGACCTGCTGCATTTAACAATTTTTACACTATTTACAAAGTCATAACTCTCCTTCAACTCCCTCACTTGTTTGGCTTTTGCCTTTGTGGAGTCTAAGGTTGTACACAGGAAGGCATTGACAATCCTGGATTTCTCTTCCACTTGAGTCATCTGATTTTTCTTTGCCACAAACAAACTTTTTGAGGACAGGAGAGGGCAATTTGTAATTTATGGATTTCTCTCTAGAAATTACAACCAGAACCTCATTTAAAAAAATCAAATTGGTTTCATCTAATTAAATTTGGAAATTGCCTCATAAACACATATTCTCTTATAAATGTCTTTAAAAACAAGGTCTCCTGCTTACTGTCTGAGGCAGGACTGGGTTGAGCTGAGAGGAGGAGACTTCCCATCTTTCTGCTCAGAGGGACATACTCTCTTATCAGTTGCTGAAACTTTATTTATTTGGCTGCACTCGGTCTTCGCTGCTATGTGCAGGCTTTCTCTAGTTCCAGTTCCAGTGAACGGGGCTACTCTTCATTGAAGAACACAGGCTCCTCATCACGGGGGCTTCTCCTTTGTGTAGAACGGACTCTAGACGCATGGACTTCAGCAGTTACAGCACACAGGCTCAGTAGTTGTGGCACACAAGCTCAGCTACTCCGTAGCGTGTGGAATCCTCTTGAACCAGGGATAAAACCCAGGTCCCTTGCATTGGCAGGCAGATTCTTATCCACTGTACCACCAAGGAAGTCCTGAAACTTTCTAAAAAATAGTGAAGTCTAGAGCAGTGCTTCTCAAACTTTTTAAATGCCCATCCGAATCACCCAGGGATCTTGTTAAAATGAAAACTCTGATTCAGGAAGTCTGGCAAGATCTAAGATGCTGTATTTCTAACCAGCTCCCAGAGAGAGCCAACGCTGCTGGTCCATGGATCACACTGAGAAAGAGGCAAGACATTCGCACTTGAATTCAGGACCCAGGAGTTGTATACCCTTGGTCTTTACATTTCACCTCTCCAAGGCTCCATTGCCTCACTTTTATGTAATGTTAAGAGTTAACATTTATCAGTGCTATTTCTAAATGCCAGACACAGTACTAAACATATATTTATGCTTATTAAGCAGTATAAATGAGCGATTACTTAATGTACCCAAGCTTACACAGCAAGGGAAGTGGCAGAGCTGGGATTTACATCTAGGCCGCCTGACCTCCAAAGTCAACATTCTTACCTTCTGAGGCCTCACTGGCTCATGATACACAAGGTCTCAGCCACATATATGGTCAAAATACAAGGCCTAATCCCATGTCCTCCCTTCAGGTCATCATACCTTAGGTTCCTTCAGATCATCATCCAAGAACTTTGGCATACTCTCACAAGGTAAACTTAAATGCTCAAACAAGTCAGACAGTGGCACCTCTGGTTCTCTATTATGGCCAAATGAGCAGCCAAGAAATTACATGAAGTTTTCTTACAACAGCTCTTTCTAGTAGAGCAACCTCATGGGAATGCCAGCATCTCAGCAACTGGTCTTTGAACATTCACAAGGCATGGGATTCACAGAGAAGTGCAGAGAAGGGAGCACTGTCCTCACCCGGGTGCACCTTTGTGCCTACAGCTCCTGACCGTGGATGATATACGAGCCCTCAATTTCGTAACAGAGCAGGACCCTATGGGGCCTTCCCAAGACTGAACCTCCTCATATCCTCTGCCTGGATCATGTCTATAGAAAAACTGTAGCCAAAGAATAAATTTAATCAAAGAAGTGAGGAAATGCAGAAACAAAGGAATGCAGTCAACTAAGGCAAAGTAATAAGAGTTTGGCCATTAAGCAAAGTTAAGGACCTTGAGTTCTTCCTCAAGAGCCGATAGTATTCTGACCTACATTCTTTGAACTATTGTTCAGATACCGAAACCCTCACCAGGTAGAAGAAGTTGACTTAATATATGATGACCAGATTGCAGTCATGACATAAACTGAACCACCTGACACGCTTCCAAGAACTGGCCTCAAGGAAATGGGAACAAACTGACCCTAGAACTGCAGATTAATTGTCTTAAAGCAATCTACATGGGGACTTCCCTGGCCAGGGGCTAAGACTCTGTCCTCCCAGCAGGGCCCAGGTTTGATCACTGGTCAGGGAACTAGATTCCACATGCTGCAACTAAGACCCAGCACAGCCAAATAGATGAATGAGTAGAACTGGAAAAAAAAAATCAGTATGCCAATCAGACCACCCCATGACCAACATGACCAATTCTAAGATGATTATCGGAGGTCATTGTGTTTTCCTGCACATAATTTCCTCTTTCCGCCTATACACTCCTGAAACTCCCCTTTAAGAGCTTGCTCTTCCCTCCTAAATTTGCAGGGGGGAAGTGGCTTTTGGACATGAGTCTGCCTTCTCCCCCAGTTTACCAGCTTCCTGAGTAAAGCAACCTTCTCTTTCCAACCAGTGTTTGTCTCTTGAATACGAGCAGCCGAACATGACTTGGGCAAGACCTTCAGGGGATTCATTGCTCAAACAGTGTCTAACTCACAGTTATGTTTATTCTTCTGTTCTCTCTTCATCTATTTCTTCTTATTGTGGGATTATCATCAAGGTCCATCAGTATGAATATCCCCTCTCAATCAGCAGCATCCCCAGGAAGGATGCTTCTCCCAACCCCATGGTTCGAGATGGAGATGTTAGAGAGCTCTGCTTCTGAGAAACACTGGATGGAGTGGCATAAGGTGTTTCCTGAAGGTGTCTTCTCCAGCATCCTGCACATGACTGACAGCTTTCTCCTCCTTCAGAGAGCTCTTAGGTCTGTCCAGATCTCTCCAGATAATTTTTGTGTCCATCAGATTCACCCTGAATATTTCTCCCTCATCAATACTCTCTGACTTTCCTCCCCAGAGCTCATCTTCCCTTATGGCAGTGATATGCTTCCCAAGGCTCGCTCTCAACAGGTGTACCTTTCTGCATGAGCACCCAAAGTCTTGAGCCCCTCCATGAGCCTACAGAGCATTTCAGCCTGGGATGCTTATCACCTTTCCTCCCTCAGACTCCTTAGAGAAACCCTGAAGCAACAATTAACACCACTCCCCCACCCCCCAATCTTACAGATAAGCAAACTGAGGCTTAAAGAGAGGAAGAACCTGCCAAGGGTCCCTTGAGACTGAGGTAGAGCTACTAGGATAGCAGAATCCATCCTTCCAGCGTCAGCTTCCATGCCCTGCAATGCTGTGTGTTTCTACTGTACCCGAAGCGCAGTCTCATGGTATCTCAGAATACACGGGGTGGGAAGAGAGTCAATCCTGTCCATATCCTACTATTAGCATTTTGCTAAATCAGCCTTACTGACATTTTACTGTTTATTTGCTTTTGCTCTGCAATGAGCTTCTATCATTTGTTCTAATTTTGCAAGTTTTCAGGGAGGCTGCATTTTGTCTTGTCCAAGGACATTCTATTCTGTCTCTGACAGAAGGCCCTGCTAATCCTGGGAGAAGGGCTTTCAACACTATCACCTAGGTGGCAATACAATACGCCTTGGCCACAAAGCAATGTTAAAGCTCAAGAATGATGTACTCCTAGCTTGGAGAAAGACATTGGGATCCTTTCAGAAGCCCAGGGACTGATATGTGTTTCATGAGTATCACGTGACTATTATGATTTTCCAGAGGACAGTTTGCTAGGCCTGGGTCTGCTTGGCTGTGCCAGGACAATCTGACTCGTTGGGTCTTGACTCCTTTGCTAAAGAGATGAATAATCCCATCAATGCACAATATGCCCAATTTTCTTTGTCATCAGGGATATCAAGACAGCTCAGTTGATGTCCTTCTGTTTGTTTCCCACTGTACTATCAGAAACCTTCTGTATTAATTCGCTTTGTCTCACTCACCTTTGTGCCTTTGATGGAGCTTGTACATGCAGTAGTATCTGCCAACTCCAGGCTGAAGTAAAGTGAATAAAACCAAGTGATATAGCCAAAGTGGCCTCCTTACCTCATAGAGTGTGATGACCCCATTGGTCTCATTGGGAGGTTTCCACTGGATGTAGATCTTCTCCTCAAAGGGCCCCCCTTGAATGGATTCTAGAGGAACAGCTCCTGGAACTACAGAAGGAAACAAGTTAGGAATCTGATGTCACCTTTCATCTCATTTCCCCAGCCTCAATGACCTAGAATGGGAGTCAAAAAAATTACTCTGTAGGATTAGATAATACATATTGTAGGCTTAGTGGGTCATACACTCCCTATTGAAATTACTCAGTTTGGTACTTGTAACACAAAAACAGCCACATACAATCCATAAACAAATGGGCATATCTGTGTGCCAAATAAAAATCCCCTTTACTTTTAGAAACAGGCAAAGGTTGGAGCTGACGCATGGGCCACAGTTTTCTGTTTTCCTGAAAGGCCAATGGCTTTTCATCTGCAGACTCTGAGCAAGTCTGTCCTGGAACTAAAGCTGACCAGGATTAAGAGGATATCTGTAGGCCCCAGACCTGCCAACAGGTGGGATCCCGGAATTAGATTCTTGGCTTAGGATTGATATTTGAGGAGTGCAACATGAACTTCACTATCATTTTTCTAAACCTGTCAAGGGTTCTTCAACTGCAGGAAGTGCTTCCATAGTTTCCTAATCCCTGAATCCACCAGGAACCATGTGCCTTGAAACCTCCATCTAATGAGAAGGCTCCGGGAATGCAACTTATTTGTCTCACTGCTGAGTCTCTGAGGCCTGCCACATGGTAGACGCATGATAACCATTTGCTGGCTGGACTCATAGGTGAGTCAATGACCTATGCCAGCATTTTGCCCTAAATCAAAACCTTTCCTGGGCAGTTTCTGTACCCAGAAATGTCTTCCTGCCAGCATCCTCCTGCTGAATTCCACCATCATTATGACAGCCTGGAAGATGCTGAACCATAAAATAATGATTCTCCAAACTTCCCGTTATAACTCCCTAGAGCATCATGAATTCATGTAAATCATTATGGAATCTATTTATATTTTGGCATTATAAAAGCAGGTATTTTTTTTTTCTACTAAGCACTTACTCTCTGATCAGACTTTTACATACCTTATTTCATTTAAGCCACAGAACAGCTCTGCCCAGTATATATTATCTCCTTTGTGCTGATAAGGGAACTGAGGCTGAGAGAATTAAATACTTGCTCAAGGTCATACAGCTCTTAAGTTGTAAAGAGGGAAGTAAACACCTGTCTGTGAGCTTCAAAGCATATACTCTTAATCATTATGCGATGCCTCTCTAGATATAGCCATGGCCATATGTTGCAATCAGTTCCCTATTGTTAAATTAAAATATATTTAGTTTTTCTCATTACAGACATGATACACAGAATTTGTTGAATATTAAGAATCTACAAGAAAGGTTTTTAAAAAAGAACAAAATCATTCTAACCTCCGTAACTGTAGATATTTTTTCTAGTATTTTTATGTCTCTGCATATACATATTTAAAAAAAAAATTAAACTCCTACCTTGCATATTGTGTTATGACCTTATTTTATAGCTAAACAAATCACAGTTAAAAAAAAAATCCATAGATGCTCTTTGGGGCCATGCATTTTAATGGCTGCTTAGAACAGGATATGCCCCATTTTAGTCACCAATCCTTTATTATTGGGCATTAAAGTTGGTTTGAATTCTTTATGATTATAAGTAACACTGTAACAAGTGTTCTTACAAATAAGTATTTGCATGCAACTCTGCTGATGTCCCTAAGATAAATTCTTGGAAATTAATTTATTGGGTCAAAACAGATGGATTATTTTATCTTTAACACTTTTGACACATATTACCAGATTGCCTTCCAGAAAGTTTGCACCATTCTGGGCTCCCCAAACAGAAGAATATGTCGATTCCTAATCCATGCCAACAATGACTATTTAAAAGATTAAGTGTATGCATGCGTATCTTTTTTAAAATACCAGAGAATGCAGATTTGTTTTTCAGTTTAATTGGCTATTTGCATTGATTCCTTTATGAACATGGTCTCTATACCCTGTGCTCATTTTCCTGCATGGCTTTTCGTTTCTGTTTATTGTTGTCTTATGACTTATAATCTGCTTTTAAGGACTTAAGCTTTTTTACATAGGTTACAATAATTTTGGTCAGTTCTTCATTTGCTTTATAAATCTTTTAGGTATGTAGAAGCTTCTAAGTATTCAGATCTCTTATTGCTTTTCCTTATCCAGTCATCCTTTCTACAAACAGTTATTGAATACCTAATATGACCAAGGGACTTGGTGATAGACATTACAGATACACCAATAACAAAGACAGACATACTTAAATCCTTGATAAAGCTTGTATTCTGTAAAGGGAAACTACATTAAATAAATAATTGCACTCATAATTAGTTTTTCAAAGTCATTATTAGGATTTTGAGGTTAACATACAAGGTGTTGGAAGAATTATAATCAGTAGAGAAAATCTAGTCTGGCATATTATTTAGTCAGGATAATACATGGAAAGTAAGTTAGGATCTACAGGCAAGAAGAAGCTATTAGGACAAGCATGGGGAGAGTGGATATTAAGAGTGTGGTGGATGGCTTTGTGGGGGGAAAGTGGAAGGAAAAAAATCATCTTGGGGAGAAAAGATGGTATCTTGGACCACGGTGATGGTTGTGTAGAAGAGAATAGAAGTGTGTCAGAAATTTGGGGGGAGGGCTAAGCATGTGTGATTTGGTAGTGATGGAGGGAAGAGATGTATCAAGGAAGACCCCAGCTTTTCTGTTCTACACAAATAGGATGGGTCAGGGGGTTGTCATAAAAAGAAACCTTAGAGGATGACTAGCTTTGGAAAGGAAGCTGGCAAGCTCAGTTCTGTCATAATTCATTGGACAAGTATGTGGAACGATGCTGAGTACCAGCGGGGTAGGGGGCGAGTAGCAATATTCAGACACTGAATCCACAGGCAGGGAATAGATCCTGCAGCAGAAGTACAGAAGAGAACAAAAGTAGCAAGTATAGGACTAAGGCAAAAAGCAACTCCAACCTCAGAGAGGAAAACAAAGAAATTTGGAAACAGGGAAGCTGTGTTCATAGAGGCAACAAAAACCCAGGAAGGTGAGCAGCCACGGGAGGCTCAAGAAGTTACTGTAACAGGTGTGGCTGCTGCGTAAGAAGCAGCCTTACATTTGCTCATTGGATGTAGTGTCTTCAAAGTTATTTGTGAGCTGACCAAGAGTAATTTAAGAACATCGGCATCAAGCCATCGTTTAGGTGGTGGAGAAGAGAGTGAGAGTTGAGGGACTGTGTTGAGACAAGTAATTATTTTTGCTGTGAAGGTGAAGGGAATGCAAGATGGAGCAGAATTGAGACATGGAACCAAAGTACTGCCCCTCCCAAACATGGGAGAGGTTATGGCATGATTCAAGGTAACTAGGAAAAATCTGAAATTGACATACGAAGTGGAAGGATGGGAAAGAGAGAGGAAATAACTGATGTTAGTAGGATCCTGAAAATGCCAGGGCAGGGGTGGGTGGGAAGAGAACATCCTTCCCTCTGTGAGACAAGAGAAGAGGAAGAAAATGCACAGATGCTTTGGAGAAGGGGGTTGAGGCGTTCGAATGACTCTTGGTTTCTCGAGGAGAGAGAGAGGAATTATTTACCAAAGGTGTCCCGGAGGAGGAGCTCTGTCAGTAATTGGGAGAAGTTTTAAGGGGTGAAGAGAATGCTGAATGGAGAGGTGCCTGTGCTACTCACTAAGAAAAGAAAGGGGGAATATCAAGCTGGGACCACCACCTGGGCTTTCCCTTTCATACCAGCTCAGAGCAAATTTTCCTTCTCAACCCAGATGAATAGTCATCTGTGTTTTCTTCTTTCTATTTCATGCTTTATTCCCATCTTTTTCTTCTTAAACCTAACATTTTAATCCATCTGGGATCAACTTTATGCATTGTACAAAGTGGAAATCTAACTAGAGTTCCTGACAATATTCTGAGGACAATAAATTGACCACTCAAAACTTTCCCCAGTGATTTAAAATGCCATTTTATTACCACATTAAATTATTTTATATTCCAGCATATGTTGTTGGCTTTCTGTTCTATTTCATTGAGTCATAGCTTCTATTCCGACAGTATCTCTCTGTTGTGCTGATATAACATATTTTAATATTCAGTAGAACAGGTCCTTTCCAAATATCATCATTCTTTTGCAAAGTTTTCTGGACTATCACTACTAGTGTATTCTTCTGAAGGAATATTGGAATAATTTTACAAAACTACAAAATGTTCCATTAGAATTTTAATTTCAGTTGCACTCTTCACTTCTCTAGGGGACAAAGGATACTCTTTAATAATGAGTCGTTCTATCAGTAGTATTGTATTAATCCACATTTATTAATGTTTCTTTTTATGTCTCTCAGTTAAAAGTTATGTTTTTTCATTTCTTATAAACTGCATTCCTAGGATTTTGTTACTTTGCTCATATTATTTTTGAATTAAGAAGTTTCTTTTATGAAACATATAGAAAAATTATACATAACAAATGGATATTTAAATAATAATTATGAAATGATCACATATGTGCACCTAATATCCACTCTAAGAAATAAAACATCACTGTATCATGGGAGCATCCTATGTATCTCACACTTGACTCCTCTCTTCCCCACCAAAAATCAGTGCACTAGTACATATATACAATGGAATATTACTCAGCAGGTAAAATGAACAAAATTGTGCCATTTGCAGAGACATGGATGGACCTAGAGAGTGTCATACAGAGTGACTAAGTCAGAAAAACAAATATCATACATTAACGCATATATGTGGAATATAGAAAGATGGTACAGATGAACGTATTTGCAAAGCAGAAACAGACACAGACGTAGAGAACGGATGCAGGGCTATCAAGGGAAGAGGGAGAGGTGGGATGGACTGGGAGATGGGGATTCGCACACATACCCTACTACGTATAAAACAGGTAACTAATGAGAACTGACTGTGTAGCACAGGGAACTCTACTCAACGCTCCATGGTGACTAAATGGGAAGGAAGTCCAAGGAAAAGGGGGTACATTTATACGCGTGGCTGATTCATGTAGCTATACAGCAGAAATTAACACAACATTGAAGAACAA